GCGTGCAGGCTGCGGCGGGCGGGGACACTCACAGTGCATGTCCCTCTCGTGCTCGTACTCGATGAAGGCGTAGCCTCGCGGCTTCCCCGTCCTCTTGTTGTAGACGATGTAGATCTGGAGGGGGGAGACGGGCGCGCGGTCACTCGCGCTGCTCTCCACGAATCGGGGCGCAGCGGGGTCTCGAGACGCGCGGGCGTCCGGAGAGCCGAACCCACCCCCCGCCCCCCCATACCACTGCAGGAGGGACAGTTCATAGCCCCTCCCTTAAACAGCAAGCAAAGCACTGACACGCATTGGTTTAGTGCATTCAATATCCTGAAATCAAGTGAGCACAAACCTCTCCTCCATACCCAGTAATAATAATATTATTAAGGAACAAATAACAGGTTTATTCCATACTGAAAAAAAGAAAGAACAACGTTTCGGCCGTGGAGCCTTCTTTAGGTGTGAGTCACCCCTGAAGAAGGCTCCACGGCTGAAACGTCGTGTTCTTTCTTCTTTTTTTCCCCAGCAAGGAATAAACCTCTTACTTGCTCCTTTGCAGCCTACGAATGCTGACGCAGCTCCCCGCCTGAATTATTATCATTAATACTCCCTTATACACTTCGGTGTCAAGCTCATTTAGATATCAAGTGAAACACGAAGCCCTGCCCAGTAATAATACGTGACTTCCTTACGTGACAGTGCTGATGCACTGGTGTCAAACTCCTCAAAATATGTAAAATCTGACCGCAAACGAACAAGTACAGGTCTACTGCAGCTGGAGAGAGCAGAAAGAACACAGCGTTTCGGCCCCGGACCAGGTGAGGTAGCATACGAAACCCGAAGAGGGCCCCACGGACGAAACGCTGCGTTTTCTCTCTTCTCTTTTCAGGCTTGGAAAGAACCGGTCACTTGTTCCTCTAAAATCTGATTCCATTTAAATCTCAAAATCTTGACACCTCAGGCGAGTGAAAACTAAAGGCTCACAAGGGGGCGTGGACCCCTGCCCCCCCCCCAGCCCCCAGA